TTTATATTGTTCCCTGGTTGTACCCTTGTGCACCCACAGATCCCAAAAACTTCCCCTAAGATGCAGGAATTTGGAACCCTGATTGGTATTGGACAGAAAAGAGGCACTAAGAAAAGAAGGCACGAGCCAAAGTTCCCTCTGCATCACAGTGACCCAAAGATMTTTCTGCATCCTCTCCATGTCCTGCTCTTAATGGCAGCTCCAGCATCCATTGCTGGACTCTGGAATTCCAGCAGGAATCCCAGCCTTGCATCCACCTGCTCTGAAGCTCATTTGAACAGCAAATCTGAATTTAAATCCTGGAACACGAGATGGGACAGTGTTAAATATCTCCAGATGTGGGATCTGGAGCCTCTCTCTGCTGGCAGCCAAGGGCACCTCTGGAGCAGCTGGAATAATTTTTTCTGCTGCTGGATCAGCATCATTTATTTCCATTCCAGGACATGGCGCGGGAGGGTTGAAAACATCTGGGATCTGGGTGAGAAATACTTGGAGATGAGATAAGGAACATTCTGTGACCTTTCCATAGAATCAGAGAACAGTTTGGGTGGGAAAGGACCTTGAAGATCAACTCATTCCAACTCCCTACCATGGATAGGGACACCTTCCACTATCCCAGGCTGCTCCAACACAGCCTTGGACTCTTCCAGGAATGGGGCAGCCTCAGCTTCTCTGGGAAACCTGGGCCAGTGTCTCACCACCCTCACAGGGAAGAATTCCTTTCCAATACCCAATCTAAACCTACTTTTTAATCCTTCCATCCATCCATCCATCCATCCATCCATCCATCCATCCATCCATCCATCCATCCATCCATCCATCCATCCATCTGTCCATCCATCTCTGGGAACATCTCTACATCTCCTCCTTTTGAAATCTTTCTCTTCCCTTATCTATCCATCAATCATCCCACCTGTCCCACCTCATTTGGGATCTACTCTTCCCTCCTGGCAGAAATGGGATTTGCTTCACTCCCACCCGGTGTCTAAGTCTCATTTATTCCCCACCCATTCTGATTTGGGTCAGCTGAGTATTCCTGAAGCTGCATTCCCAAGAACAGCCATTAGAAAATCCCACTTTGATGCCTAAAATTGGTCACTAAAATCCCTTCTCCCACATCCCACAGCCCCTCAGCCTGAGCAGATTTGCAGACAGCACTTCAGGCAGCAACAGCTCTCTGTTAAACACCATCCAAGAGTGGAAAAAAACAATAAAATTCCCTCTGGAGCCCATTTTTACCACTCACAGGAACTTCAGAACATCCTGGAAAGGATGCTGAGAAAAAAACTCAGTGATCTCCCCTCAGGGCCAGCAGGTCCTCTTGTTCCTGCCTTCAATCTCTGGCCAGAATTAAGGCAATCCAAGAAGGTGTCACAAGTCTGGATTGGACATTCCACAGGATCCCCTGGTCATCCAGCAGTTCCAAGGGCTTCATTTCATCCATGAGCCGGAATGAGTGTGTGGAACTTAAGCTTCATTTTCTCTTTGATGTATTCTGCTTGTTTGTTTGGTTTTTTTTGTTGGTTTTTTTTGTTTGTTTGTTTTTGTTTCTCTTCTGCTGATGGATTTAAGCCAACAAATGGGATGTTTAGATGGGATATTGGGAAGAATTTTTTTTCCCCTGTGAGAATGGTGAGGCCCTGGCACAGTTTTCCAGAGGAGCTGTGGTTTCCCCATCCCTGGAAGTGTCCAAGGCTAGGTTGCGTCGGGCTCAGACCCCGTGGTAAGGGGTTAGAATAAGGTGATTTTGAAGACCCTTCCAACCCAAACATTCCATGATCCTGTGATTCCAAGATCTCTGTCATCTTGCAGCCTTCCCTGCAGGAGACCAGGAAATTGGAAAATCTTCCTTTCSATGTCTGTCTGTCCAGATTTTCCAGGAATCATTTCACC